GGTTAAGCCATGGGAAGCATCAGTTTCCTCCTCCATCTTTCTCTGCTGTGAGGCGTGGGCCGAGAATGTCAGTGATGATGATAATGCGATAAAATGGCCCAGACGCTGTGAGTTCAATGAGCTGGATTGTTTTTGTGATAGCAGTGAGCTATTATGGTGTTGTGATCTAAGGTGCAATTCTACTTCAACGCCATATAATCGTCTACTTGGGAATGTTGGAGTTCATCCTACTCATCCCAGAAGAACTATACCCTCTAAGGAACTTGATTCCTTGTATAGGGGTACAGTTATGGTCAAGAAGTTCCTCAATGACATTCCCGAGAAATGGAAGGATGTCAAAGTGAGATTCTCTACGGATTCGGAAATAACGATCCATCGGTTACGAGCCTATGCGAAGAATTCTCATGGTCGACTTAGTCTTGGGGCATATGAGCTAAATAGGCTTGCTAAGATCTACGACTTTTTGACTCCATTAGGCTCTGTAGTCCTTCACATTCAGGGCAAGTATAATCCTTCAGACTGTCCGACCCGGCCCCCAGCAAGTGTGATGAATACTAACAATATTGCTATTGGAGTCCAACTTGCTGAAGAACAAAATTTTAAGTTCGATGCAAGGTCTATTGATGTGACGTCTACAGTAGCAACGGCTCAAAAGGCGGATCCGACTATTTGTGGATTATATGAGAAGGTGAAGAAGGGTGCTACTCTGCAGAAACCCGAAAATCGGGGTTTGTGTATCGGTCAGAGTAACAAATTGTTATGTAGACGTACGTTACTCTGGACTACTGATCAGGATGAGCAAGTTGTTGATGTTGGTGGTGAAAGGATAGTAATACCCGAGTCTGATCATCAACTACAGGACTACTTGGTTCGAAGGTATCATGTTCATGGAGGCATTGCTCAAAACTTGAGGAGACTTACCGCTAAGTTCGTGTTCAGAGGTCTGAAGGGTCAATGCAAGCAGTTCAATCAGCAATGTCTCATTTGTGATAAAATGCGAAGAGATGCAGGAGCTCGCAAAGCAATAGGTAGTGCTCCTTTGTGACAGTCAAATTTGGAACCATGGGAAGTTGTTTGTATAGACATTTGTGGTCCTTACTGCCCTGTACAAGATGATGACTCTTCCTGTCGATATTATCTTTCGGCAACGTGTGCGGTTACTAAAGTCACCAGAGCTGTTCCTATACCCAATAGGCTTTCATCTACACTAATATCAGCAGTTAAGCATGTGTT